TTTGACCGAAACAGATATCAGATAGCTTTTTGTACTCTGGTTGCTATATTGCCTGTGTCTGTAATGTGTATCAACTTGAATATAAAGCTCTGCATTCTTTCAATGTCTTGACTGCCTTTTGTGATTCTTTGGTTTGATTGCACATGTTTTTCTGTTCTCACCTGGTTCACTGATGTGTCTAGCCAGCAGGGCAACTGGGTCAGTGTGCTTTAAGGGGTTTTACTAAGGCCTCAGTTGAGATAGCTAAAGGACAGGATAGGCTGCTTGCTCTACAATCTCATCAACTTGGGCTTTTTCAGAACATAGAGTTCTTAGGATACACAGAGGGCAAAACTGGAAGGCTAACTTGAGAAATTATATGATACTTCTCCCCATATCCCCCATTGTTTTGATTTAAAAAACAAAGTGTTCAGTTCTAGTTCAGGGGCAAAGAAATCAACCCTACCTCTTGATAGGAGGTGCAAAGAGTGGGGAGTAGTGATTCATTGGGCAGCAGTACTGTAACAATCTATCACACTTGGATAGTATATCTGATAGTTTACAAGTACATTCACACCTTTTTCCCATTTAATTGTCACAACCGTGGAGAGAGGTAGAAGTATTATTTTCTCTATTTTTACAGCTAAGGAACCTCAAGATCTGAAAAGTCAATGACATATGTATCCAAATGGCAGAGATTGGCAGAGAGATGGCAGAGATCAGATTTAAAGTTGGACATTGTCAATCAAAAATCATCAAGAATAAGACCTGTACACATGTCCCCATTTTCTATACAGTAGATTTCAAAGTTCATTTATAAATTGATAAATAATGCTTAATCATCTAAGATATAACATGACTTATTAATGTGTTTAAATTTATGAAATAAATACTTTAAAGTGACAGAAACAAATTTTATGACTATATTATATACCATAAGTATATAGGAACATAGTTTAAATATAGGTGACTTGTTCATTTAAATTACAGATTAACTTTGGAATAGTATGAAAGAGAGAAATTGAAGTTTCAGATGTCAGAATTTTAAATATATATTTCAAAGTTTTCTCTAAAACACCTTTATAATTTTTCTTTCAGTTCATAATCAACTGTAATCTCACTGAATTTCCTTCATTCTAGCTGTAAATACCACTTTAGATTTAACAAAAATGGCTGAGAGCAGCAATTCAGAAGCAGCTCAACCGTCACAAAAAATGAAATGCTGAACCTTAATCCACTGCAGGTTCTTCCTTCACTAAATGAACACAATCCTCTATCATCTTCTGTTACAGAAGAAACATTAAAAAAAGAACATATGTATATCCACCACTATAAAATTTAAGCTATGTTGTCTATATGCTTACAGAACAGTCATACACAAAGAGTCATGTACTTTTAAACACAGAATAAGATTCATTTGAGTTTTATCACTCATCACATCATATGAAAACACTATATGGTATATACCATGTCAACATTTCTTATATTTTAAATAAATATATCCACAAAATATTATCACCTCGTTGTGCCAGATTTTATTTCTCTATTCTTATGTGTTGAAACTGTAATGGTTATTTATATTTATTGTTATCATACATAACAACCACTGAACATATTTTTCACAAAACCATTTTTCATAACTCAAATGATTCTTGAGAAATTATATCCAGAAATATATCATAGATTAAAAATCTTTTTAAGGCAATTGATAACTCTTGTCAAATTATTTTTCAGAAAGCCTGAATTGATTTTTATTCCCAAATTTAAGTGACAAAAGACCTTTTTTTCTAAAAAACATTCATCAGCATTATCATGATAATAGTATTAATATTATTGTTTTCTAAAAAAACTTTAATAAGTTGCCATTTTAATGGACATAAAGTATGTATTAGCAAAGGTTTTCAGAAATTGTTTCATGACCAACATATTAAGTTGAATATATTATATATATAAGTTCACTGAACTACATGAAAATTCAAATAATTATTACACTAAGTATAAATAATGAACAAGAAACAACAAAGATTTGGGATATAGCACTATCAGTTCATGTACAGAATTAAACTAATTCTGATATTTTTCTGGTAATCAAAAGGAAATTTTATAAAGCAGCACTAAACTTCTCATATTTGTTCTTTTGATTTCTAACAATTCACACATAAGGAACATACCTGGACTCTGCTTTAGTGTTTCTCTTTAGATCAAAAAACTTTCCAAGTACAAGCCATCTTAGCCCCAATTAGAAGATTTGGAGAAAAACAAAAACTTTTAAAAGTAACTCATCGTTATAAAGGTCTAAAAGGCAAAATAAATTTAAAAAGAAGACAATCAAAATATTTCCAAAGTGCTATCAGCATCAGTTCTCTTGTTTCATAGTCCATTTATTCTTCCTATCATACAATCCATTCTCCTATTTTCTGATGATATTTGCTCCTAGAAGAGAGGAGGGAAGGAGAAAGTGAATCTGTATCTTCACAAAGGGGCTACAAAATATATTTATTTACATATTATTGCTTTTTTTATTTGTCTAGCAACATGACTTTGTGTATTATCAATTATTTCTTCTTCAGTGGTTCCTTTCACCAATGATGACAAAGAATACGGAATTAATATCCCCTGCTTAGTCAGTATTCTAGGTCTAGAGGCTGAAAGGTTATTCATCTTATTAATTTTTTAAACTTGTGGTTTGTGGATGTGAAACATCATATATTATTTTATACTCACAAAACTTGAGCATATTATGAGAAAACAGCCAGCATGTAAACCATCTCCCTTTTTCTCACATCTGTCTTTGAATGCTACTCATCCTCAGGCAGTCTGGACCATGGAACAACTACCTGTTTTGAAAGAGAAGGCATTATGATTCCATTCCTGTATCTAATTATGTCCTTCTTCAAAGCACACTCACTTTTAGGAGCTATGAGTATATTGTATTTGACTGCAAATGTGGCCATCAGAATATTAGGTTGCCTAATCTTGATTTGTTTGAAGAGAGAGCATTCTCTTCTTTATTTCAATGAGTTTTGACTTTGGAAGTTTTGGTTATCAGAGAATCAAAGCTTACTCAAAGTTTCTTTAAGAAATCCACCAATGGCTTTGTCTGACAACTAGCCATCTTTAAAACCAAAACGTTATCATAAATTATTACATCTGTGCTACTTTTTAGTTTTAAAACAAGTAAAAAGCACATATCTTTCTATATGATTATTATAGAAAAAACTTGGAAATGTACCTTCTGACCAACCTATTCATTTGATTTTTTTATTCCTTCTCAACTGTTAGCTTTTGAATTTCTGTTAACCTCAATAGTGGAGATTTTAAGTCTACATTGAGAGAAAATGTAGGTAACAAAACTGGAATTACAAATTCAGTGCTGAAATAGAACAGTCCTGTTATGTTTTAGTTATGTGGTTTCCCCAAAACCTCGTGTGAAACAATGCAAGAAAGTTTAGAGGTGAAATGATTGGGTTATAAGAGGTTTAACCTAATAAGCGCATTTATCCCCACATTGGGATTTACTTGGTGATAACTTTAAGCAGACAGGATGAGGTTGGTGGAAATGGTTCCCTGGGGCCTGCCTTTGGGGTTTATATTCTGCCCTTTTGGAACAGAACTCTCTCTCTCTGATTCCTGGTGCCATGTTCCCAGCTGCTTTCCTCTGCCACATTCTCCTACTACCATGTCTTGTCTCACCTCAGGCCCCTAGAAATGGAGTTGGCCATCTATGGACTGAGGTTGCTGAAACTGTGGGCCCTCAAATATTAACTTTTCCTCTTCTAATTGTTCTTGTCAGGTCTTTTGTTCACAACAGCAAAATAGCTGACAGAAACAAGTCCCCTCTTAAAGAGGAGCAAGAAGCTTGGGTGGTGGTGGTGGGGGGAGTTATATTAGTTCTAGCTATACTGCTAACCAGTTGTGTGACTCATACTAATTTACATTTATACAGTCTTCTCTCCATATTTGTTTTAAAGAAATGAAGGTGGAGTGGAGGAGGAAGGGGATAAAATCTCGTTTTTAATATTTCAACATCGCTATAACATTTTAATATTTAACAATCTAGTTGTTACTATAGTTCCCCTAGTGCACAATATCCCATTATCCACAATCCTTTACTTTTGTGTAGTCCATTTGGACTACAACACAAGCTATAAGGATTCAAAAACCTTACTGGCTTGTTTATGTATCACTTTAAATAGTTTTAATCTAATTGGAAAGTTCTAATTGAAAAGGCCTTTCTTGGCTCCTTTTGGGAAGTTTCCCTCAAAGGTATGAAGTGTCTTTCTTTTTCATTTCCAGTTACCTGAACACTTTTCTAGGATCTTTTAAAACCCTCCCTTAAGAAAAAAAAAAAAAAAAGAAAGAAAGAAAAGAAAAGAAAAAGAAAAAGGAAAGAAAGAAACTACAAGTCCCAGGAACCAAAGCTAGAAGCAGACACTTATCTCCACTGCCTCCCCACTCTCCCTTAAATCTGGTCAGCTAAAACTCAAGTTGAGGCATCCTGAAATATGCCTGAAAGAAACGTCAGCTCTTTGGTCCTGGCTTTTATCAGTGTTCTTGCTCGGCTCCTTTAAATCGGTGGTGAGAGCGAAGAGAGACACAGCGCGACGCAGAGTGGGCTGGGCGAGGGGCGCGGGCATCACCTGTTCGGAGGCGCACGCGCACGGCGAGGGCGCGGGCAGGAGGCGGGGCGCGGTGGGAGGGGCAGACGGCGCCTGGCTGGCACGGCTCAGATCTGCTTTTCCCCAGCTCACAGCGCTGAGGCGGCGTCGGGGAGGCGTCTTCTGCAAAGGTTGCCTGGCGCTGTCCAACATGGAGGAGACACCGGCTCTGGCGGGCGTCACCTGCGAACGGGACTAATCCTCGCCTGGCGTTCCCAGCAACTGAGCCGAGTGCAGAACTAAGGACTCAGCAGCCTGCACGCCCTGGGCGGACCCCGGCTCCAATTGCTTCTCCGGCCGCGGGCTTCTCGACCCGGACGCAGCGCAAGGCGGGAGCGCAGCGGCCCCGAATCTCCCTGAGCCATGGGCAACGAGGCGAGCTTGGAAGGGGAAGGGCTCCCCGAAGGGCTGGCGGCGGCTGCGGCCGGAGGAGGGGCCGGCGGGGCGGGGACCCCTTTGCACACCGTGATCCCGGCCGGCATGGAGGCGGATCTGAGCCAGCTGAGCGAAGAGGAAAGGAGACAGATCGCTGCTGTCATGTCAAGGGCGCAGGGGCTGCCCAAGGGAAGCGTTCCCCCGGCCGCTGCGGAGTCGCCTTCCATGCACAGGCACGCACAGCATGCTGTATATGTCCGGGCATATATGTACAGGTTCTCGTGCACATATGTGCCAACCCATATGTGCTAACAAGGCGGTACATATATGTCGCCTCCGTTCATTTTATTCTCCTTAATGGGGTGGCAATAAAGAGATCATAAGCTTTTTCACGGGCGTAATAAAAATGATGCATGATGGAGTTTCTAGTGGGATAGTAAAGGGTTGCATTCTTGGAACTGTGATTTTAGGTTGTGATTTTTGGCCTTTTGGAACCTTTTCCCTCTAGGATGGCACGGAGAGACGCCCTCCAGTGTTTTACTAATCTGGAAGTCTTCCATTAATACAATGCGAATGTGTTAGGAAATGGATAGAGCTGGGCTGGGTGTTTACCTGTATCTGTTTAAACCTCCTCAGCATTTCGGGGTCTTTTTCTCTGCGAATGTTGTCTAAATAGTCCTGTAACAATACCCTTAATCTCTCTGGAAGTGATTTGCCCTCTCCACCTTACCCCCAGAGGAGAACAGGAGCTGTTTAAGCAGAAAGCATAGAACGAACACACCTTATATATTCAGTTGTGAGACCCTGAAATATGTTGTGGCATTAAACAGATGGTTTGGTCACAGCAGAGCAGGTGCTGTACATGTATTTCTGAATTAGCATATGTCATTTTTAAACCATTGCTCTTTTTATGCAAAAGTGACTTTCAGTTTATGGGAGAACATTTTATTACTTTAAAATTAGTTTTCATTACACACTTTGAAAAACAAAACAAACAAATGACAACTTGTATCGGCAATTATGAGAGCTAATCTGAAATCAACTATTCATTTCTTTTTCTACTGTTTTTCTTCATCCCATAAATCAGTTGTTTCCTAATTAAAGTACTAAAAGGGCATAATAGTTGCTTGCCCTGCTTTTATAATTGTAAACAAACTAACTTTGCACCCTTCAGCAGAGAACAAGTCTCTTTCCATGGTCCTGAAATCATCCCTTCCTTATGACACTGAGGGGAAATATACGATTTTTTAAAGATATTGAAAATACAAAAGACCTGGACATACAGATGTAATAGTCCTCTACTTTGTAAAATAAGAGCATTTTAACATAGTCACTATCGTATAAGTATATAATTTTTCCAGATAACTATATTAATAAACTTAATATAGGAGAAACTTAAAGAATTATGGACAGTGACAGTATTGTCACATAATATCTTAAGTGTGGAAAATCTGTCAGGTAAAACCCTTATTTATCTTGAAAGAAAATCACTACTGATGAAAATTAGCCTCATTATATTAAATATGCTTTTTGGTATTTAAAAACTATTCATGTATTGGGTCATTTCTTTAATATAAAGCCTTCTTTTTTATTACCTCAGTGGTAGAGTTTATAATATGTATTTCTTTTATTTACTTGATGAAAACTTGACTTGTAAAAACATTTAATGTTCATATACTAGATTTTCATAGGATAATAACATGGTCCAGTGCTTTTATTAGCCTTTTAGAAATGTATGCCAGCTCATTGTAATTTTTCCAAAGAGGCACATGCAACAGGTCTAGCATGCTGGTTACAAATACCAAGAAAAGTGTGGTCTTCGATTTTTAGATTCTTAACTTTTTTTCTGTTCAGAGAGTGGCTGAGAAATATTATTTTAGCCCATAAAATGTTACTTTATGTAGTATTTTATTAGATAATATATTCTTAAAGCTCTCCATTAATAATTTTGTTATGGTGGAATTGTTATGAACAGGTAATCTGTGACCTAAACAGTTCTTGGTGAAGGCTTCCTCCAGATACTCAAATAACAGTATTCTTTTATTTTTGCAAAATGCTTATATCTTACTAAAATATTTTTGTAAAATGTATACAACTTTTGGAAAATTGACCACACATATGATAACCAGAGAAACATAGGTCTATCATTTAGAATTTTAGAATTATGTTAATTTATATATATGCATATGAGAGCATATCCACATTATTTGAAGTTTCAGATGTTAAAGAGATACAAATTGGACATAGTGAGATTTATTATTATTATTATTTTTATTTTTAAGAAACAAGGATTGGCAGTTCCAAAACAAGATTCTTATCCTATTGATTTTAACTGACTCATAGCTAATTACATGCACTTCACAACCAAAATATACCTCAGGTTCCTTGTCTCTAAATAGAGCTAATAATACTTATAGAGTCATAATGGGGATTAAAATATTTTTTTATTCCAGCTGCTTTTACATTCTTATATTTGCATACATATTGACCTTATTTTAGTTGAAATATCTTTTCTACTAATGTTTGAAAGAAAAATTCTTCTCTGGGGATGGCAATAATAAAATGAAAAAGGAGATAGCATTAAACCTGAGTACCTACAAGCTAGAAGTAGAAGGCAGGATACAAATAAAATCCTCCTAGATTTTTTATTCATTGTAGTACAATTTTATTACTTCATCTATTCATTCTATTATGGCTACAGATTTGTCGTATGAGAGGGCTTACTAGAAAACTTTTCTGATAGAATATAAGAGTCCTGGCTAAATTGATTATTTCCGTTAGTATTCCTTGGGGCCTCCCCTACTGAGTAGCCACCTGCACTACTGTTTCCCCCCCCCCCCCCCAGGGCAACCTGAAAAGTCCAGGTTTTAAAATGAGTATGGGATATATCCATTTGTATGGTAGAGGGCCTATAGAAGAATTTGAGGTAAAAAGAATTCAAGAAACATTAATCTAGAGTAAAAAAAAAACCCAACATGTTCATTCATCAGTTTGCTCATTGTTAACCATTCATTTATTCATTAATTCATCAAACATTAATGCCTGTCTACTAGTTTTCAGGATTGATTCTAGTGATGGAAAGATGAGTGAAATACACTCTCTCTAGGAGTTCATGGTCCAGTGTACAAGGCACAGATTATATTTTAATTACTTTGGTTTTAACACAACAACTGCTAAACCAACAAAAATTCACAGAAGACCACAATTAACTAAGGTAGATTTACGTTTTTGTTTGGTATTAAGCTGATACCTTCTCTTAATGATTTTCCTTCTATTTCTCAGTCTCAGATCTTTGTGTTTTATTTACATAATTCCAACAACAAAAATTTAAATTGAGTTTACATGGTAGAGCAACCTTCATGGCTACATAGGTCTTTTCTGGCAGGGAGAATTTTTAAAATATAGCTTAACTTAATGTTTGTAGGAAGTACATGCAATTATAATTTGTGGTGCAAGGAGCTTGATCTCAATTTTGGCATTTACTGTTATCACAAATATTTGCCTACATTGCCATTTATAGATTGTTTCCATTCTGAGTCTTTGATGCTTCTTTCTTCTGTGTCTTATCTCATGGTCAGTACCCAGATTTCTACATCAGTAGGGAAGTTTTGGAAAATGTATATTATTGAATGATACAAAATTTAAAAATTTGTAGTTTACTTTAGTAGGTAAATTTTAGTGCACTGATTTAAAATCTGTAGAGCTTTATTATTATCATATTTTAGGTGCTATTGGATCTCTACTTCTTTATCCTTATCTCTTATAATTTTTCTAAAATTGAAAAGCAATACTTGGCAAATAAAACAATTATCTGATTTTCTGTAACACTATAATATGTAATACTCTTTTAGTTGCAAATTTATTTGTAAAGAATGGCTTATTTAAAAAGTAAACATTTAATGTAATGTTTGAGTAAATTATACGTATTTATATTAAGAAACACCTATTTTAATTATTTAACCATAGTCATTTAAATTGATAGTATTTAGTATTTTTACAAAGTTCATCTTACATATTTTTCTACAAATTTAAAGGAAACTTTAAAATTAATTTTTACATATTTATATCAATCTAAATAGTAATAAATATGATTATGAATAATCTATCAGTGATAATAATAAAAAATTCAGCAATATTGAGTATACAGATCACTGTGTATTTTCATTTGAGGAAAGTAACAGTGCTTCCTAATAGTGGGGACATACCTTGCTTGCTGTTATTTGGATATCAGACTATATCTCAAGATGCTTTAAGCATGTGTTGTTAACATTGAATAGAAATTTCAGATCAAGAATTATCTATTTGAAAATATAAATACCATTGGTCTTAACAAAAAGATGGATTTATTTTTTAAGAATATCTAATGAATGTAGAGATCCTTATTCCATAAAGTTTAAAGGTACAATATCTGATGGATGTTAACTTTCTAGATAGAATAGAGCAAATATGAATAGGTTATCAATTTTCTTAATGTCCCTAGAAAGGCATCATTTATCCTACATTACTCACAACCCCCTAATGTCACATTGTGTGCCTTATGTAACTAATGTACAGTTTCAAAGTCAAGCAAACTCCTACATTTTAAAATGAATAATTTTACTTCTTAATGATCCTGCTACTTAGGAGACTTTCTTTGACCATAAATTTTAATTAAAAAAGATGCACTGGTGACTACATAAGAACTATGATAGGACATTCATTGACTTACTTAGGTTTTTAATTTAAACATACATTTAATTAAGTTTTAAGTATTTGAAGATTCTATTAAATATACATAAATTATTTTCATTATAAATATTTGTAATCTGTATATCTTAATTTTTCATTACTCTTGGCAAGTATTGTTTCTTCTTTACCTCCCTATTGAAAATTTCTACCCACTTATTAAAAAAAAATAGCAAGACCATTGTGGTCACTCATAGGTTGCTACATAATTGTTTCTACTTAAATTTTTGCATTCATAATTTTGAGGAATATAACAAAGTGATAGCCTTTTAATATTTGATTTGAAGTAACTTCTACTATTTTCACTTTTTTTCTTTTTTAGGAAACAAGAGTTGGATAGTAGTCATTCTCCAAAGCAACCAGGAAAACCTCCAGACCCAGGGCGTCCAGCTCAGCCTGGTCTCAGTAAAAGTAGAACTACAGATACTTTCAGGTCAGAGCAGAAATTACCTGGAAGGAGTCCTTCCACTATTAGCTTGAAAGAATCAAAGTCCAGAACTGACTTTAAAGAAGAGCACAAGTCTAGCATGATGCCTGGTTTCCTCTCTGAAGTTAATCCTTTAAGTGCTGTATCCTCTGTTGTAAATAAATTCAACCCTTTTGATTTAATATCAGACTCTGAGGTATCCCAGGAAGAAGCCACCAAGAAACAAAAAGTAGCTCAAAAGGAACAGGGAAAACCGGAAGGAATCACAAAACCTCCACCACAGCAACAGTCACCCAAGGCAGTTCCCAAGCAGCAAGGACCTGTTAAGGACCCACTTCAGCAGGATGGCTTTCCCAAATCAGCATCTTCTCAGCAGCCAGAAAAAATTAAACCACAACCCCCTGCTACAGGAAAGCCAGTTCAGGGGCCTGCCCAGCTTGCTCAGACAGACACAGCAAAATCACCACTTCAGCGAGATGCAGCCAGGCCTCAAACGAAGCAGTCAGACACAGTAAGGGGAGAACCAGTAAAACCCACACAGCAGAGCCCATCCAAATCACCTGTTCAGCAAGCAACTTCTGGAAAATCTCCAGCCCAGCAGCTTGGACCTGAAAAAACACAGCCTGGGGCTACAAAGCCTGCAGTCCAGCAACCAGGGCTGGTGAAGACCCTCACTCAACAGCAAGGGACAGTGAAACCCTTGGCCCATCCGCCAGGGACAACAAAGCCTCCATCTCAGCAGGCTGGGTCAGAGAAGCCTTCATCTCAGCCTGGGCCAAAGTCTCCAGCCCAGCAGCCTGGTACACCAAAACCCCCAGGTCAACAACCTGGACCACAGTCTCCAGCTAAGCCATCAGGGCCAGGAAAGACTCCAGTTCAGCCGCCTGGGCCAGGAAAGGCTCCAGCTCAGCAGCCTGGGCCAGGAAAGACTCCAGCTCAGCAGCCTACCCCTGCAAAGCCCCCACCTCAGCAGCCTGGCCCAGCTAAGCCTCCACCTCAGCAGCCTGCCCCAGCTAAGCCCCCACCTCAGAAGCCTAGCCAGGCAAAGCCCCCACCTCAGCAGCCTGGCCCAGCAAAGCCCTCAGCATATCAGTCTACAAAACCAGTAAGCCAAATGGTAACTGAGAAACCTCCACAACCACCACCAACTTCTCCATCTGTAGCACAGACTCCAGTACAAGGCCCAAGTAAAACCATCTGTCCTCTTTGCAATACCACTGAGCTTCTGTTGCACGATCCAGAAAAGGCCAATTTTAACACATGCACTGAGTGTCAGACCACGGTCTGTAGCCTCTGTGGTTTTAATCCAAATCCTCATTTAACCAAGGTGAGTGGATGTATTCAGAGTCCGTGTTCTTAAAGCATATCATCCTTCTGTAAATGATGCTTAGTTTACCTTATATGGTAGAATGGCATTGTCTTTCTCTAGTTCCATTGTTCATTCTTCCCTCCCCTCTTCCTTTGTTTTCAGTTGTCAATTGATTTTTTTATGTTTTCTCCAATAATCCCCAAATATTGCACAATTTTTGAAAATTTGGCACATAAAACAAGTACAAATTGATTGAAAGATGCTGAGTTCCTACTCATTTCACTCCGTGTAATATCTACATTATTTGTTATTTGGCATAAAATGATTTTGCTTTAAGTTTTAAATTGATGCTCCTACCTACTGAAATTTTGGTATTCTTGACTAGAATCATATTTGTTTTAGGGAAAAGTGGACAGTGATCTTGGATTCTACATACAGTTTTAATGTAAAATTGAATTTTGATATATCCAATGAGGGCATGTTTCCCTCATTAGTTGCTAGTCATTGAAAATGGCATAGATCAATACAAAAAAATTAAGTCATTAAAGCAAGTTTAGCATTGACAAATGTCTTCTCTGATGATTACAGTTAATATTGCCAAGGCTTTTCCTGTGTAAGTCTGCCTAACCACTAATCATAAAGGGACTAATTGTGACACAGATAGGTACAAAAGAACGAAACATAAAATAGCAGAGCACTTAGGAAATTCTCTGAGTTAAGGAAGTATATAGTGAAGATGGGATAATAATATGAATAAAGTGGGGGTGAATAGTGTAGGGTCTAAAAGAGTATAAGAGAGCAGATCCAATAGCCCCTACTTGATGAGAAGGCATGTGGAGTCCATCTGGAGGACAGCTGTTAGTGGGCTGACCACGCATCATATCTGTGAATACTCAGGAAGTAACTGACAGCAGGCAGTGAAGGATTATTGATTTAAATATCCCTAAGATGAGGTTTGTATATGCTTGTTGTAAGTGAAATCTATGTTATGATAAATTATAACAATAATGAGTATTGATATTGGGTGCTAATGAAAATGAAAATGATGTAGATTTAAAATATGTCAATATCTGTTTTTTTTTTTTCTGAAGTACTGTTTACTCTTTTAACCAAAAGTCATATTAAGTGCTTTAACATTTTAAATACATTATTCTTTACTGGTATTGCAACTAATAAGAACACACTACATTCAAATTAATGAAGAAATTATAAGTAATTTGTTTATATATGTAGTTTTTTAAATTTTGGTAATGATATGTTTCTGCTCATTGTGTACTATCTCAATAGAAAAAGTAATAATGATCTCAAATGATAATTTTATCAAATGTTTGAATTTGTTATATTTGAGTGGCAATTTATAAGATAAACATATGAAGTTGGGAATTTAAACCACGTTATTTGTATAGCTATTAGTTGGAAGACAGATAGTATTTGAATATGTACTAAATGTACATTCTGCTACATGTTTGGTGGGACATACATATACTAAAACACGAATGCTGATCTTTCCATGATTAAAATATACTCAATTAGAAACTATATAAATGTATGCACAAGGAAATATATTGTGTGTACAGATGTTAAGAACTGTGAGGGATCTGAACAAATATGGATTTCAGAGTAGAAATTTATTCCATTTCCAGTGGATAAGATCAACGAAATCTTCATGGAGCAAGTGGTATTTGAGCTAGGTGTTAGGGTTAGTACTATTTTAATAGATAGAGAACATGACAAAGGGTAATGACTTAGGTCAAGATCTGGAAACAGAAAAGTGGAAGATGTATGTTGGAAATCAGGAATAAATCCAAGTTAGCTGGATGATGGGGAGAAAATGGGCAGTGAGTTTGGAGATGGGTTGAAGTCATATTTTTTGCTTTTTATACTCAGCAGTAGTGATAGATGTCTGTTTTCTGAAACATACTTTGATTAATGTAGTCATGCATTTGATTATTTTCCAAATTTGTATCAAATGCCAAGTTGTGAAGCACCATTGAGTACTTTGACAGAATAAAATATTTGTTAGATAATGGGCTCTTTCCTAAAGTAGAAATAGGGGAAATAAAATTGTGCATTAGAGAGAGAGAGAGAGATAGAGAGAGAGAGAGAGAGAATGGATAGTAACTTTCTATAGGGCTTTACATTTCACATAATTCTTATTTCTTTTATCAAAATTAAACTTCCAAATATTTCCATGGGCAAAAATTCTATTTTTTCTATTACACTAGTGAGGAAACTGGTGTTCAGATGGTTGCTCTGATTGCTTTAGTTATTAGGCTCCTCAGATAGTAAGTTACCAAGAATAACTCAAAGCATCTAATTCCAAATCTGTTTATTCCTGTGGGAAGAGACAGAAAGTACTTAGGACAAAGGAAGAAACCATTACTACCAGAGGGAATTTGGAGCTCTGTTATCAAAGCAGAAGTACTTGAACTGGAATGTAAAGAATAATAGAAATTTGAACACACATGGATGGGTATGGAAGGAGTAGGAAATGTGAAGCTGAGGCAGGCAGAGGTCCTTATTAGCTAAATGAAGGAAGGCATTCCTTATTTACTGAATGGGCTTAGACAGGTCATTTACACTTTCTATTATAGTGGCACCATTAAAATATAAAAATAACAACACATTCTCTGTCAAACACATTGGGTTGTTAGAAGGATTCACTGAAAATTTGTGTGAGAAAGTATTTTTTAAGTATACAGTGTGATTTTAAACTTGTAATACATTGCAGAATAGATAATATTAACATCTTAAATAGATTTGACTTTTAAAATTTACTTATACATTGCACATTATTTTCTATATAGATATAATATCAGAAGTTGGATTCTGAGGTAGCAATCTAAAAAGTTTGATCAATAATATTAATAATAATATTTTGTTTTAATTTTCATTTCTTTTCCCCATAAAGAAAAAATATAATCATAGTTCTAATTCTGAATTCTAGAAAGGTATCCTACCTAATCTTTTCACCACATGGCCAGCTTCTTAACCTCCTGAATTATCCGGAGGTCAGAGTTGGGAAGTTAGGGCTGGGTAGAGGCTGAAGGCTTCTGTTCCATGAGATAAAGTAGATGGAATTTTGGGGATGACCACTGTTTCTAAACTGTTATACGTATCCATGAAAAAGTAAATCTCCATGCATATTTCAAGCTGGCCTCAAATATTCACATTCATTAAACAGTTCTTCCATGCAAAATAGGAACAGATGTTGGACATTCTTTGGTACTTCAGTTTACATGAATGTTGTTTTCCAGTTTGACCTTTACATGTAAGTAACTCAGTATATGACTTTTGTGTTCAGGGAGTAAAATAGAATACTGGTCTTTTGTATTGAAAACACTAGAAGAATTTCTCTGATTTTTTTTTTTAACCCACACATCAGAATTGTGACTATATTTACTTGTGACTATACTGACTTAAATTACTAAAACCTCTAGGGAGGAAGGACTGGAGAGGTAGCTACACTCAGCCACAAGATTTAGGGGCAAGTTTACTTCTTTAATTATAATTTGCCAACCTTTCTCCTACCCACAAAGACATCTTAGACAATCCAGTCACCAATGTGTGAGGATGGCCTGTAAATTAACTGCCCACCTTGGAGGCTATGAAGATGTGTGCTATTCCAAATAAACCTTAAGAATCCATTGGCTCCAAGCCTAGACTTATGATGCCAAAAGAGTTTATGGCTGTAGCTCTTCTTCCTGATCCATTAATTGAATTAATCAGTACAATATATTTCCTCTCTTTGGCCTTGGTTTCTGACACAGAAACTGAACATTTACTTTCTAATCAGTGACAAAAGCAATTTTATTGTTGTTTGTATAGATTTGTTTTATCTTTTTTGGTGTATAATCTTAGGCAAGATAGATTTAGGGCCAGATTGAAAGGCTTGTGCCTAATGTTTGGTAATTCTTTCAACTTTTTCAAATTTTAAAATGTATGAAAATGAATTGTCACTTTTCATAATGTTGATAATGAAGCAAATGTTAATGATGAAAGTGAATTTAGGTGCCCCACTGTTTTATTAGGTCATGATATATTAATTAGTTTTTTTCTGCTGAAACTAGATATTTTTTTTTCAAAAAAATATGGCCACCTTTCAGGAGAAAAAAAATTATCCCTACACTTACATATATAGATGTGCATAAAAACTTTCATTATTTACTAAAATGACAGAACAAACAATGACTAAAAATCTCCAGTTGGGTAAAAATGGATTCACTGGCCACCTCTTTTAGGTGGATAGTGTTGATGCTTCTGGTTCTAGTGAGAAACAGAATGGGCCTGCAGGGGCCATGGGAGTAAGGATTTGTTTAAAAAGAGCTGGTAAGAAAAGAGAAGAGCTATACCAAATATCAGGAGCCTGGTATCTGTGGAAAAAGCAAACCAGTAAGGTATTTCTCATGGTGGGATGACTGAAAGAAGTTTTAGAAAAGAGGATAGTCTTTTTCAAATTCCTTGCTGTTTTTAGCACAGATTTTTATTTTTTTCTTACCTCAAATTCAAAGCAGACTGTCACACAGTTCCTTTATAAAAGGAGGACTAAGCACTCAAATATTCATCTACTCCTTCTAGAAGTCCCACTTTTAAAATATTGATAGCATAATAGTTCCTGAAAAGATGAAAGAGTACCAGTAACATCATTTGGTATATCGAGGGATTCCTGGCAAAGGGAAGGAGTTGACAAAGAGCTGAGAAAACCATTCATTGTACAGTAGCTTTCTGAAGGAACCTGAGAAAGGCCCTAAACTTGGAGTCAACAAATATAAAAAAGTAGTAGTGGCTTGTGGGTGGTAATCAAAGAATAGATTTTAAAATTGCCGTAGGAACAAGGAGGATACCTAGATTCTTTCCTACATTCAGTGGGAAGAGCATCCATTATAGTAAAGGGCAGAAATAAATAAGACATATGGTGTGATAGACACTTTATTTATCCCTCTGTACCACTAGAGAATGTTCTCTAAATGAAGAAGAGAGTTGCCTAAGAAGTGCCCTCTTAAGAAAACTAGAAGCTT